AGAAATGATGAAGGTATATTACAGGACATACACCAGGTTTATCATCTAAATTAGAAGGCATCTGTAACACAGGTACATTACACCCAGGTTTTTTCAGTAAATATGAAGGGCATTGTTAACAGGACATACACTCCAGGTTTACAGTAAATATGAAGAGTATATTACAGGACAATACACCCAAGGTTTATCAGTAAATTGAAGGCATTGTAACAGGACATACACCCGGATTTAAACCAGGTGGGACCGGACGAGCTCCTTACCTACGCACCCCGCTAATCGCTGGGTCCACCAGACTGAGGCAGGAAAAGCCCCCCAAGGGGAAGAGGACTGATGGGGGGGGGGGTAGCTTTAACAATTCAACAAATTCTAGGGGAAATAAGAAATGCCTTCAGACTAACGTTAACAATAAGAGAAACAGGCACATTGTCGTCTAACGTTGCACACAACCAGTCCGCCTTTCTTCAGTTTTCACTTAAACGATAACAACGCTACAACCACACATACTAGGTACAAATAGCAAAAAACGTGCTGCTGTTAATTACGTTTTTTTTTTTAGCTTTATTTCACCCTAAATGCTCGTAAATACGACAAAAAAATAAAGCACTACAGATTAACTAGGCCTGGTTATCTTTTGTGGCTAGCTGGTGTTAGCTTAGCGTTAGGCATCCATTACTTGTGGCGCGGGAAGTACACTTGTTTTTATTCGCCCCCCAGTGAGATATATCGTCGATTTACTAGGATATTTCAGTGCAGTTACATTCTACCAAACACCCCGCATTACTTACGCAACGAGCACTGTAGCTTTAAAGGAACAACGAGTGTCTTTATGAAGAGATATATTTACCGCAGTCTCCGTTACCGCCATGAAGCACACCTTCTTGGAGAGGCCCGCACCACGAACACTCGCGAGATTTCCACGTTTTCAATGGAAGGTATCGCGATAGTTGAATCCTCGCGGTAGTTAAGGGAGGGATTTTTTTTTTTTTTTAACAAAACGTTTCTTTAACGTTCAAATATCTTAAATACACGTTTCATCCATTCACTTTTTTACGGTTCAAAGTGTTATAAATAATGTTATGAGCCATCAGATTGCGTGATCTGGTTATTGATTTCAGATTAGGGCTGTATTGATCGAATACTGTGTTGCTATGGTAGCTACTGTAGATTATGACCTGCAGAGGATGAGGAAGTGTCCCGCATTTTGATATGTTAACAAAAGTTGGGACAATAATCAATAAATGTAGTTGTAATTGTAGAAATTGGCTGCTAGTGATGTCTTACAATAAAGCACTAACACCCTTTAATCAATATTTGGTCAGTCTATCAATATATAGGAGAATTTCTCAACCAAGATTACAGCTACACTACTTTATTGCTTGTAACAGACTGAATCAATACATTTAAAAGTAAATGAATAAAATAAAACACTTTTTGTGTCTCCTGTTCCTGTTAGTAGCCTGTGACTTTAATTAGAAGTTGTCAGACGCATTTTAAATTGGCTTCAGGCTGATAAACTTTGACTCAAATGGTCCAAAACTACATTTTGTTTTCTCCTAATAATAAGTTCCTATTCTTTGTAGATGGATACTCTTTTCTAATACCTACTCTAATTTATTTACCATGTGCATGTGCACAAAAAAACCTCACAATCCACTGTTCCCTTCACTAAATTTGCTTATTTGGCAATAGTGAATATAGCTTTTACATTATAACCTGAAGGACATTAATTAAAGATGCCTATTAAATAAAAATGATAATACTCTCTTGCTAACTGAATTAATTTCTTATTCAAAAACATACTGGAACATGTCTCAGAGTAGTAATAACATAAATAAATAAGTTGTAATAATTTCAGACATAACCAACATGTCACATATTGTTTATTGTCATGTATTTAATTGCATTAGCTACAATATTTAACAAAGGTTTTAAGTAGAACACATCCAAAGGCAAGTTTCATTCAACAGATTCACGGGAAGAAAAGTAATTTGACATAAAGTAAGACTGATATGGATGTTGTGTTTTCGATGTTTGCACAGTCTAAAACATTCATTTTCTTGGTCAGGTCCCCTCTGGAACTGAACTGTGACTGACAAAGGCAAAATGCAAAGTCTTGAATGGGTGCAGGCTATTAAGACATGCAGCTTATTCGATCAAATGAGCAATAATGGCACTGCTTTGCAATGAAATTCTGTCAAAGAAAGTAAACCCTTTTTAATAACCACAAACAAACACGTACACCACAGCCTCTGGTAGGTGAATGTCTGGGCTCCTTGTCTTCAGAGACACTGATAAGAAGGCTTGACACAGAGTAGAGTAAGTAAGTACTGTAAGCAATGACTGTACAGCAGTGTAACTGTTACGAAACCGCGACCTTACAGACCCCGGGAAACAAATGAAGCAGAGCTAAGTTAGTCTGACAAACAAGAGTATACTGCTGAAGACCGATCAGACAATTCACTATTGTTTTGTTTTTTTTGCTGTCCAGTTTTGTTAAGGAAAAATCCACCCAAATGGCAGCCTTTTAGTGTGCCAAGAATGGGCAAGAAAACCTGGCAGAGCTGAAGGCATGTCTTCTATTTTTGTGTTTGTGTGGGCTGCAATCAGCTCCAAAGTTCACACTGATATTGTCTGAAATAAAACCCAGAGTGGATGTGATACTGGGAAATGAATGTGTTAAAAGCAAAGTATTCCGCTCTTCTATCAGAGATTTCTTTAATCGCCTGCAGCTCATGGAAACCTCCATAGGTTAGCACTATTTTTGACTACTAAAACCATACATTCTTCAATATTTTTGGGCAGATTTTTCCTTTACAACACTACACATTTACAAAAAAAAGTGTTCTCGTCACATGGTTTGGGAAGTACCGCAAAAAATAAGCTAAGCAATAATATCCATCAACATTATGGCAATTTTTATTAACAAGTCTTAAGTCACTAACACCCTTCCTCCCATTTATATAAGACTATGATTTTACTTCACATACTTCCAGTTATGTATTCCAATTTTTGTACACAAGCTGCGTCTCTTTTCAAACTAATATTGACTGCAGCAAAGAGCATTACCGCCTGAACCATATGTCCAATATAAAGTGGCTGCAGCTCTTAATGGAGCTGCCATTACTGTTAAATTCATCTTCACATTCACATATGCTGACTCTGTGGACTCACGACAAGAGATGGGAAACTGGTCCGAATGATTTAATCTGGTTTTAAAACTGTAAAAATCAGCCTAAATAAGTCCAAATTGCTAAATTGGGTACGATGCCGTTTCCTTAGGAAATTTTGTCAGATTTTGTACATTGCCATATCAGGCACTTTCCAAGTATTTGGCTTTTAGAACACTTTACAGGGAAAACCCTTAAGAGGACTACAGGCTAAAAGGGAGGCATCATCTCATTGCTCGTCACTACATTTAGGCATGGCGTGATGAACTCTGGGGAGAAGTAGCCTTTAACCCAAGAGTGCAGTGAGGTGTGTTAAACTTTGCAGGTCATAAAAAGTAAAGCCAAAAAAAAGGAGAAAAAAAAACAGGCTTGTGCAAAGCTTCTATTGTTCACAGTTAAACAGAAATAAATAAGTCAACTGAATGAGTATTAACAGTGCATGTTGGACGGAATATTAAATTCCTAAAACGGTAATAAACTGAACGTTCTGGCTTGCAAGGGAGAGAGTTTTAGTAAATATTTTTTTTTACAATTCAAAGTGAATAATCACCAATCAAAGTGGACACTGGAGTGAAAACGAGGCTTTTTGAGCAATAAATCGTCCTTCTGAAAACATAGCTGCTGCATTTGTAAGTAAAACATAGCCATTCTGAATAGTGGCATTATGGAAAAACCTAAGCTGTCAAGATATCTTAAGGCATGATAGCCCTTTTAGGCAGGGAGTTTGTCAATCTTCCACTGCTTTGTGGGATTGCTGAACACAGCCGTGATGCCTCTGGCCCTCCAATCAGAGGTGCCTTCGGTTCCGTTCTCAGCGCTGGCGTTTCCTGCTTCTCTCCAGGGTGATTTACTGACAAGGCCCAGCTTTCTTCTGTATTTGTCCTTGTTTTATCCCCAGCTGGGTCAGCTCCCATTGCTCTCTCAGTTCCAGGCTGTGTGATCCTGCCTGCTGCCCTCTTCCTTTCTTGATCCATGTGGTCAACACCCGGGGCCCCTCTGTCTGGGCCAGCCACTGTCGTGACCCATCCTCACTGTGTGCTTCCTGAAGCGAGCGCTCTGACCCGGTGTCGGCTGATGGCGTCCTCCAGGAACCCTGCTACCTTCTCACTGTCCTCCTACACAACACACAGGACGTTTGTAAGACTAGATATGAAATCCCAGTACTTCTAAAAATCATATTAAGGACATTTAAGCATTGCTGTTGATCAAGAACACAAATAAAGATATTTTACCTCATTTATGAAGGCGTAGTGAACAAGTTCACTGGCAAGGTCTTTGGAGGTGTCAGCTGAAAGTTTTCACATGAAATATTTCAGTTACAAAAAACACAAAAATATAATTTGTCAACAAATGCCATAAAAAGACCAGAGCCAACAATTAATTCATCCAGCTAACAAGTGTGTCCAAACTTGATATACTGTAGCTTATTCCTCTTTGCCATAGAGCTCTATTTTTGTCCAGAAACTATTAAAAACACACCAATAAAGCACAGCTTTGCATTGGGTGACATGTGCCTTATTTCCCATAAAAGTGGGCACTGTGGTTTAATTTTGAGTCAATTGAACACACACCGTCCTGCTGCCGTAAATAACTCACAAGCACAACAACAATTAGCCGCTAAAAATAGTCCCCAACAAACACACTAATGTTTGCTAAAAACTACTACTAGTGTCTGCTTTTGGTGGTTTCGGTCTTTTTATTGAATTTGTAGACAGTAAGGAAAATATAGACCAATACAGGCTTTATCAATACTTACTTGGAAGGATGTCACAGCTAAGCTGCCTATGAAGTTTGTCATCCATCTTCAGAAACAAAGAGAGCTAGGGAGAGATCAAAAAGTTTAATTTAAATCAAGCTGGATTCATGTTTAACCACAATAACACTGAACTGTCTGAAAATAAATGTTGTATTCCACTGTTACTGGCAAAAAGACTAATCGGCCCAACAGAAGAGTTTATACTAAAATGGACAAAGTACCTGTAATACTATGTGACTCACATGAGTTTTGGTCCCTTCATCATTTGACTCCAGATTACAGTGCATCTGAACAACCTACAACACCAACAGACAAAAAAACAGGCAGAGAGTATTAAGCAAATAACAAAAATATCTTTAATATGTTTTGAGTGATAATAATGATAATAATAACATGTACACAAACACACACATGTCCTATTAAAGATTTTACATAAGCAACAACAATAACAAAAACGTAGGGGCATTAAATTATGCTAAATACTGCTAAACCACGTAGACATGCAGCCAGATTGTGTAGCCAACGTCTGAAACTCTAACCTTCCTGGTTTCTGTCTCCTGGGGTTCGGGAGTCGGCGTCTTGACCGTCTCAACCTGCTCCTGAGACAAGGAGAGGGCTCGGGGGACAGGGTGAGGCCGAGACGAGGCGAAATTCATTAAGGGGTAAATTCCATTCCTGGAGAGAGGAAAGGGATGTTGAACTTTATGCTGCAGCCAAAGAGTAATCACAGATACAAAATGAGTCGTAAAGTTCCACTCACTTGACATCCTCCAGAAACTTGTCAAGTTCCAAAGGGGAGACATGGGAATATCTAGAGAACATGGGGAAACACAGAGACGAGGACAGTGAGTGTTGTGTTTGACATCTTATAGGATATTCAGCAAAGACATGAGGTGCTTGTGTGTGACTTTACTTGAGCTGAACTCCCTGTCTGTCTTCATGTTTAATCTCTGCCATGACGGCGTTGGGGTCGAAAGACTTGGTTTTCTCCTCCACACAGTTTTCTGGAAGCAAGTCTGTAGATGCAAGACAAAGTTTGGATGTTAGTTAACGGAGTTGATACAGCAAATGTTCTTTTTTTTTGTTTTCAATATATTGTATAACCCATGAGAAATGACTCTGGCTCCTCATCAGGATGAAATATGTTGTATTATTGGTTTTTATTAAGTTTGAATTAAGAATTTTGCAAGAAACAGAGACATATTTTGGTTCAGTTCTAAAACCTTGCTGGGCATACACATGGAAGTGATAAAATTGATCTGCTGCACGTACGAACGAGTAAATATTGCGATGGGGATCGAAAGAGGAGATGTCAGTGTGGTAATCTTGGCATGTGAAGGTGAGAAACTCACACTGGTTGTTGATGAGGCAGTGGGCGGCGAGCAGTTTGAGGGAGTGGACCTCAAACAAGACTCGGTGGAACAGAAGGTCATGAGCCGTAGGACGGAGCTTGGCATCGTGGCGCAAACAGGACTGGGTGAACTCCTGTAGGAAGCAACAAGAAAGCAACGTGAGTTTAACACGTAACTACAAGACTGTACAGTATGACCCAGCTTAGTGAGCATCGCTCTGACTTCTGGATTTGACTCCTGGCATTTGTTACTGTACAAAATCTCATGTAGTATGATATAAACCCGCAGAAGTAAGGTAGTATATGTAGGCGAGTGTTAATAGAGTACAGTTTGTCTTCATCTCCATGTTTCCTTGGTTGCACGACTGTATATTTAGGACATGAAGTATTTCTGAGACTCACTCTCATGAGAGGGTCTTCCAGAGATTGACCTGCATTGACGATGGCTTCCTTGGACACAGCAGTATCTCCATTGGCCTGGATCTCCAGTACTGCCATCTATGGGTACAAATAATCTGTTAAAATAATCACACATAGACACAAACACACACAGAGGGGAATCTTAGAGATCTGTTTTTCTCACCTCTAGAGCACAGATGCCAAAGGAGAAAATGTCTATGGCATGATCATCTTCGCCAGCTAGAAACAGAAAAGGAGGAGCAAAGATGAGGGAGGAGAGACACATAGATAACTTTAGGGAAAAGATTACCCCAAAATGAAAGTATAGTTATTTAATCTTAGTTGGCTTGTGTAGTTCAGATTGAAACATATTACAAACACAATTAACCAGCTTATCTTTTTACAGCTCTGAAAGCAGCACAACATCCCATTAAATGTCTCCAAATAATTTGTGTGGCATAATACGAATGTTTTGTGGACAGTCAGTCTCACTTTGGCTCCAATAATCTGACATTTACCACTTAATCTCTATCTCACAATTACAGTTGTTAGGTCACAGAGGCACGGAAATATCCTGTCAACATTGATGGTGTGGGGAAAGGATAACATGAATATAAAATAACATGTCTGTTTGGTGATTTTACACACATCTGTGCAGCTTAAAGTTACATTAGGCGAAGGAGGTAATGACCAAATCTTTTACTTTGGGGTGAATCATTCAGTTAAGAATGACTGAAGAGGGATTTAATAAAAATCAAGCCGCAGAGAGCTACGCACAAACTACGCTCCACCTCACGTACCACCATATTCTGGAGCAAAAAAGTGAAGATTCCTCTGCTCATCGCGATTTTGCCTCCCTTTCCCATGGACACTGGCGTCTGGAAACACTGGTTAGAAAAGACACAGATAGCATGGATAGATTAGTTGGGAAAAAAACGGATGGACAGATATGACACCAATGAAAACATTATCTACTACAAAATTATCTATGTCTTACCATTGACAAATAGCCGATGCCACACTGTGGAAAGAAAATTAAGCATAATTGAGATATTTATTCTGCTTTAAGATTCTGCAGAGATTCATTTTAGTGAATCCAGAAATCCACAGTCTCCACAATCCACAATATGTGTGGCCAATGCTGGTTGTAGTAACATAAAAAGCCCTGCTGGGATCAGACCTGAGCCAATCTTGATGAGGCCGTTGTGCTGAATGAAGATGGTGTCGCACGTCAGGTTGCCATGGATTATTGGTGGGTCACAAGAGTGCAGATAACTGGCAGCAGACAATAAAACATCTAGTTAATGTGATGGCTTTGATAAATTAATCTCTCATGTTAAAATCCTGGGGAAGAAATCAGTCAGTACCTGAGGGCAGAGAGAATCTGGGTGCACCATCTCTTCCAGGCCTAAAATATAGTGTAACAGAGCAACATGAATCCTCTAAAAACACAAATTTGCTCCATATGAGGGCATATGGAAATTTACACTGAGCTGTAAGACACTATAATACAATATTTCTCTCTCCACCAACCACAGTGTGGTTACAACACTTAATTTGTAATTTATGACTTTGCATTATTGAAGGAAAAGAAAGAGGATGAGATATATGTCTGAGCAGACTGAGCCTGAGCCACCAGGGTGTCCTGTTACATAATCTCTAATCCTGTGGGAAATATGGATCTGAATAGTGATTGAACTGCACTACCCTGTGCAACCACCATAAGACAGACTGAATAAACACACCAATACAGTATGTGACCAACACTGACCTTCACATTCATGGTCTTGTGGTTTTTCTTAGTTTTCTTAAGAAATTGCTTGAGGCTGCCCGACGACATGTATTCTGTGATGAATATAACCTGTGGGTCGCAGGTGGAGGAGGGACAACCATTAATTCACAGTCGTGAAAAAATGAGAAGAAAAGGAGAAAAAATAGACCAGAAAGGATATAAAAAATCTCACCCGCGCCTGACTCTCCTTCATGTCCAGCCAGTACTTGTGGAACTTGACAATGTTGGGGTGTTCGACCTGCATCAGGTTCTCAAACATCTCCTTGATCTTCTCCTAAAACAAAACATACAGCAGAGGTGGTTCACATCATGAGGTTCTTCAATCCCTTGGACCAATAAAGCTAAAAGTATTTGTTGATTACTGTAAGTGGTTGTTAAATTAATCGGCAACAATTTAGATAATTTAATTTAGTCAATATTGCTGGTTTCCCCAGTCTCCTAAATTGTTTTTCGTCTCCCAGGCTGATTTCCTTTGGGGTTTAGTCTTACAAAATAAGCCACTTTAGCTTAGACTCTTAAACCTCCAACTCAATATCCTGGTGAGATTTCTGTTGGAAAAAGATGAAATTTTCTAAACAAATAGAAATGGATTATTTTGATCTTTTGTTACAGTGTATCTGGTTAAAATACTCAATGAACTTGCAAGAAAGGCATCACAGAAATCACAGCAGGCAAACCCTCAAACAAAGAGACTATGAACAATGAGTAAAATACAGAAAAATGTGACTATGAAATGTAAACTAGTGGTGTAGTAGGCAACCGTGATCTAATCTAAAGTGTCCACAATCTACTTTCCAGGCCAGTTGTAGATCGCAGTATGTGAACAAACCAGTAGATTGATATAGCCAACTACATGAATATGCTGATTTGATGAATTACTCTTTTCTCTTCCTTGGGTGTCGTATTGGAGTGTCTTTAATGCAATTTTGTGTGTTAATAATGGTAATGGAGAAATGAATGGGCTATTTCAAGTCTGGCTAGGGGTTACAGGTTATTTTGAAAATTTGGAAAAAGGTTTGTGATTGCATTTAAATAGATGAGGATATTATTTTAATAATATATAACCCATATTATGTCACTGGAGGACCCTGTTCCTCTACAAGTACTGTGCTGCCCATCAACACACATCACTGAGCTTTAAAACCCAAAGTACCAAATTCTAGTCACTGTAAAACCACAATTTAGTTAAATAACAGCAAACACTGCCTGTCTTGTCTGTAGGGAATAAAAGCCACAATACCTCCTGTGCTTTGAAGACCTTCTTGTCAGAAAAGAGCACCTCGTTCCACACCACCTCCACTCCCTCCTCTGTGTCCATGGCCAGAGAGGCACTTTCCACACCTGGGACATTTCCTTGGCTCACCTGCAGGGGGCAGACAGAAACACATATAAGACTCACTTATTGTTGTTGCTATTTATTGCTGTCCCAATGTTATGCTACAACATTAAACCTGCATTAACTGAATCTTTTGGTCACATCTTATAAAGTTGATAAAAATGTTAGCTCACATTTGCCTATATATACATCCAGCTACATAGCAACATTAGCATTAATTTGGGGTTCATATAGAGTCTGTCTGATGACGGTAAGTCCAATATTCACTCTAAAATTAGCTCTGTTTTAGGTTTCCACCAACTCCTGTGAGAAATATCTGTCTCTTTAGATGCTCAATGCTTTACTATGTTCACCAGTTAGTCACTCACTTTGAGGTTTGGTAACAGTGGTGAGAGTGGACCTCAACAGTAAAGTCGTGGGCCATAAAACCAAAACAATGAGCTGAAAGATGCTAAAACACTCTGTAAAGCTGAAGGGAACTGAGGTGGGTGATAATTATCCGTCATGACTACGACTGACCCCTATTATACAGCTGTAGTCATTTGATCCAATGTTGTTATAAATATAAAGAAAAGATAGAACAGCTTTAAGCAAAACATGGTTATTTGCACATTCTGCAGCTCAAATACAGGAATACAATATCTTATGACAGTATAATTGAGGTACCAAGACACCTTGCCAGCACTGCAATCATAGCTCAGGTATATATAAGCTAGCTGGTGTCCCCCTGAAGACTCAGTTGATTATATATGTTAAGTCTGTACTGTAAAAACAAGGTAGCAAAGCATTACAGAGCCCTCGCTAAAGCATGACTGAAATGATTAGACGTCACCCCTGCTGCGACTTTAAAATCTGCTAAAAGCTCCACATAATCCATTCACAGCGATCTGACAATAGCAGCTCCATTAATGAAGTTAAATCTACTGTCTATAAGGCATCATTTCTATATAAAACTCCATTAAATTCAGTTTTCCATCCATTACTGGATGAGGAGGCATAGATGGAAGATAATTCCCTGTACTGAGGCTATGCTGAATGCTGCCAGCCAGCTTTAAACATGATGATGAAGAGTAAAGAGGGGCCATAGGATGAGCAGCAGCTTCTGTAAAGAGGGAAGAGATGGATTAACACAAGGGAGAGAGGGAGAAGTGAGGGCATTGTGGATGAAGGATTTAGAGAGATAAGGCATGGGACAACAAGATGGAGGAGGTGGCACCAAAGAACTACAGAGAAAAGAAATAAGCAGAGTGGAGTGAAGAGGCAGTGGCTGGGTCTATAATCGGGAAGAGGAAGAGAGCTCCGGGGCTCCATCAGCGTTTATGCAACAGCGGCAAAGAGCTAAAGACTGCTCATCACAGGATATTGCTGCCTCAGCTGTGTTGACCCCATGAAACCTCCTGATATTTTTATGAAGCAGAAGTTGTGGTGCAGTAAGTAGAGAGACTGGATCAGGGGGTTAAAAGTCCATCGTTAATACGTGTTAACTATGATGCAAGACCTTGAATTCTGATCTAATCCTGCATCTTGTGAAATGAATGAAGAGTTTGGTGTCATTTCCAGAGGAATGCAGTTTGAAAACACCAGGATATTACAAGATTGAGCTGTTAGTAATTCAACTCCAGGACCCTGACCTCTAAAGTATTAGCTCTGTGGTTATAGAGGGAACATAAAATCAATGATCTTGATGACCCCGAACTGAAAACTATAAATCAGTGGATCTTTTTTTGCTTAGTTTAGATTTTAGTCTTTCCCACCCTCTCTCTTGTGCTTTCTCTTTTTCTTTGAATTGCACAGTCTGCTAAAAGCTTTGTTTCCATTCAAAATCCTGCGGTTGCCTACTGCTGTTGACTGATTTTATCATGTGCACAAACAGCTGCAGAAGCAAAGGACACTGCCTCTCCTTCATTGTCCATAACAGGACTGTAGGCGTGCTCCTTTTGCTTTTGTAAAGTGCTGCAATGATGGAGTTAAATGTATCCAAAACTAAAGAAATAATTCGCGATTTTAGAGATATCTGGTCACATAGAGCGTTATACATGACTGTCAACTCTTACAAATACTCTTACTAGACAGTAATCATGAGTCAGTAGTTCAATTATTCTTCAGTTCATTTTTGAACTGAAGAATAATTGAACATCAATATTTTAGAGTTTGAGAATATCAATGTTTGAGAATCTATTGACCTTTACTTTTATTTTCAACAGCAAATTGAAGAAAAGTGACAATCTGTTCCAAGATTATCGGCATCAGACAGGGAGATCTGTAGGATCTGTTCTTTTTGTGTCCATCAAATGATCAGGAAATCAATGTTTGTATTGATCGAAGCTTCCCGACCACATCTTAGCAAGTGAATTCTCATTTAGGACGTCACTATGCTCGACCCGCCTGTAGAAGTTCTTTAGCTCTTTATCCCACCTTCCAAATGTCTTTCATAGAAGATACATGTAATCTGGGCTGTGCTCAGAAGCACACCTGACACTCCTCTATCATCATCATCATGTCTGTGGTGTTAAAAAGTAGTCTCTTCACACTGGAAGCGAGGAACTACAGAAAAGCTACCCTAGTGAGCGATCTAATTTAAAGCTCCTTAGAAAAAGTAGTTCAAACTAACACTGACAATGTACATGTGATACCATAACAAAATATAATACACAAGCCAGCAATATTGCCACTCAGTTACAATGTTTTTACAAAAACATAAAAAGCCCTACTATTCAAGCAAACATAGTTCACGACTAAAAAGCTAGTCAGTGTCATATAATAGGTTAAGTACAGTCAGGGCGATTCTTCCCAGGCTGAGATTCAGGAGGTTTACCTTGATGGCAGTGTGTGAGCAACATCTGCCCTTCTGCACAATGCAAAGTTCAAGTGCATGGTGGTGGCTGCCCAATGATTGCATTGCCTGGGCAAGGCTTCACAGTGGTCAGGATGAAAGATGAAAGGGTACGGGGCTGGTCAAAGCGGGTTATAGTGCAGTAGAGAACAAAATAAATAATCATTCCTTTACTTTAAAGGCCCAAATTGTTTGTAGTTTCAGTAGCTAAATACACAAAAAATGGCAAAAAAGCAACTACTTAACTCACTATGTAAATATGAATGTAGTTGAACTACCAGCAAGCTACTGCAAAATATAATTAAACTACTACATTAACTGCATGTAGTTTACTCCTCCCCAACACTGCTGAAATGTCAGCTGGGCGTATGTGATAAACAGCTGAGAACTGACACCGAGTTTGATGACGGGGTAGCAACTGAACAACTATTATTTGTGCTCCTCTCTGCACCTAAATGACTATGTATTACTGCTAAATGCTGACCATTGATATATTCTACAGGGCTCTACTTGTACCACGTTCATGACATCATCATCTGAGACTCGGTGATGAATGGAGTCAGAGAAGTTCTTTATGCATCCGGCTCCACAGGAGGAGGTTTGTTAACCGAACCATACAAACAGCAATCAGAGCAACCACAAAAAGCTGCTAGAAACACTCAGATTTTATATTCTGACTTTTTGAATTAAACCAGCCTCAAGATAAAAGAAATGTTCCACCGAATGTTTTTTAGTCACTGCGGTTTGTTTATTGCTCAACCTACAGTACAGTGCAGCTGCAAAGCTCTCTGCAGGGTTTTATTTACAGGCAGCAAAGGAAACACATAATCTCACTACTCCCACTGTACAAGAGATGATAATCTGATTACTGGTGTTACAGAGCTGGAACACAACGCTCCGACAGAGGGAATTCCTTCGCTTTAACAGCCATCAGGAGGGGATCATGTTCATTTCCCTCTAGCGTCTGGGCTCGGCTGTTGTTTATTTTCACTAGATGTTGAGAAACACTCGGTCCCCAGTCCCACCGTCTACGTCCCAGGGGTTTTGTTGCTTGGTCGTGGTAGCGTGAGACCCGTAAACAACACACTGGATGCTCGGCTTCGATTGGCTGCTGGGCGGGAGGTGGGTTTAGGGTGTGGAAAGAGACTTGAGGATCGTGTGTTCATGTCATAACAATGTTTGTGAACATCTGAACTGGGTAAAACCGGATCTTGAAGGCTGACATACTAACCTCTTATTACCTCGCCACACAGTTTATTCTTGTGCTTTTCTCTCTCACATCAGGGTGTTTTTTTTGGTATTATATTCTCTTTATTTTGATTTGTAAAGGAAAAATACTACTTCAGACTCTTACTTACAGCGCATCACATTGCCATAGTTAAACAACTGCTAACAGCTACAGGTACTGTGTACATCAGCATTACGTAGCTCTCACTTAAGGGCATTTTATGCAATATAATCTACAAAGTAAGAAAGTTAATCAACCAAATAAATCTCCACAGGTACAAATCTCATCTTTCATTGGTGTCCTGATTCTCTATCACATCCTTACTGATCTGCACCACAATGCACTGGTATGCCAAGTCTTTTATATTAGTAGAAGAAATACATTTTGCACTCAATGAACCAGCAAGTTCAAAATGTATTAGCACGACAAGATCTATTTCATGCCTTTATTAGAGATACGACAAGAGAGATTTGAAAGAAAATGAGGAGAAAGAGAGAGTGATAGGGAGAAAAGGAGAGAAAGAATCACATGCAAAAAATGTCCCTAGCCAGACTGGATCCGGGGGAGTGGCAGCTCATGGTCTGCACATTTAAGGTCCTTCCACGGAGGCCGCACTGTTGAACCACCATGTTTCTACAGAAGCCCAGAATAGACAAATTAAACGCAGCTTTAGATTCACATTTTTTCTGGGTTTCACTGCAACAGTAGTTTCTCCTAGATGCCTTGAAGGCTGTGCTGTATTAAATTGGTTGCAATCTGAAACTTCATGGCTAGATGCCACTAAATCCTGCACTCTGGTCCTTTAAAAGAGAATTTTGGGCTGGTGGCGTTGGTATTTAAACACATGTAACAACAGAAGAAACGTTTTTGTCATATATTCTAAAACAAGTAAATAATACAGACAGGCCAAAAATAATCAGATTTTATATTTTCTTTGAACCATTTTGGCTAAAACACTGTGAAGTG